GCGGGATGAAATTGGGAAAAATATTAATTAAAATAAAACTTCTGATTTTTGAAAGAAAAAGTATCCCACTTGATTTTAGAATTCATATTTCCAAAGATAGGTTGTAGTGTAATTTCCACTTTTAGAAAATATATTTTAACAAACGGTTTCAAAATTTAAAAATTGAAAAAATACGGCTAGGAAAAGTATGGAGTACGTTGTAAATTAAATACTGTTTGTGACAATATCATATAGATATAGAGCTTTAATTATTTGTCATTGCTTGGTACAAATTCTTCAAAATTCACTTTTTCCTAAATTCATTTTTAATCGTATATTTTTTCAATAAAATAATTTTGCACGTAAATTCTTAAAATTTCCTATTTTTTAACTACACATTATCCATAAAAAATCAATTTTCACAAAATTTATTCTAAAAAAATCTACATCATGGAGCCTCTCAATTAATTATACATGAGTTTCGATTATTTCTAAATTCTCTTTTTTCTCTTAGTTTTATCACGCGTTATCATTACAAAATTTAACCTTCAAAAGTGATTCTTCTTCGTGTTCAAAAATAAACACGAAATTATAACCAGTTGAGTTATCAATATGAATATTATTTTTTGTTTAAAAGAAAATGTGAGTAAGATCTCTTAACTTTATTTGCATGACAACAAATTGTTATATGTTATTAGGTTTGTTTACATCGTTTTGACTATACCAATTAATGATATGCGTACACATATTTGCTCCAAGAAGAACAAATTTTATATATTTAGCCCCTGTTTGGGCCTCATTATTTGACATTTTTTAGAGTTGAAAATTTTTGGAATAGTGATTGATGGGAGAATGTGTGGTGGAAAAGTAATAAAAAGTTTTAGATTTATGTTTATGATTATTTTATTTGATGAATGTGTGGTTGTAATGAAGAGAGAAAAAAATTTAATGTAATGTAATAAAATTTAATGGGGGCCAAACAGGGGCTTAATATTTTATAAGAATATTGTATCTTGCTTCATGGAAAAGCTTAAAAGTGATAAATTCTAAAAAATATATATGAAATTTTTTTCTTAAAAAATACGATTTTGTAATTCTATTAATATTCAAGAAAAATATTTCATTGTCTCTCTTGAAGAAACACAAATTATGGGTGTGTCTGAACCACATTATTTTAGAAGTATGTATTTTGGAATAGTAGATTGATGGAGAATGTGTAATTGAAAAAAAAAAAATTTATTGATGCGATGAAAAATATTATTTTATTTAAGAATGTGTTGTAGAAAATGAGTAGAAGAATGAGAATCAAAGTTTTAATGTGGCTCAGACAGGGACATGCCATATTAAGCCCTTACCACTATTTAGTTGAAATCCATGCATAGATATATAATATACATGTCAATCAAATAGTGACATAGAGTATTGAATTTTCACTCTATATAAATACTAGAAATTTCTTCGACATAACTAATGCCCATGTTTGGTAAGGATTAAAATTTAAATTTTAATCAAAGTTAATAATTAGAGTAATGTTCTTCATCTCCAATGGGGATGAAAACACAGTTTAGGTGGCTGTAAATGATAGGTGAAATGAAAAGTGAAATTAAATGACTTATTTAATTTCATCTATGATTTAATGCCACATTAGCGTCACCTAAACTGTGTTTTCATCCTCAGTGGAGATGAATAACATTACTCTAATAATTAATTTCGTAACTTTTCATGAAAATGTTGGCAATTAAATGCACCATAACACATGTTACAAGACAAATCATCTCCTACATAGGGAACAAACAAATTCTTATTGAATGTAGGACACTAGTATTCACTGCCTAATCAATATGAGACCTTGCAAACAAATTCCTATTCTATGTTGGACATCGCATTTAAATTCTAATCAATATGTGGAACAATGTAAAGTTAATTGCTAACCGGCCAACGGCCCCTGCTGATTGTTTGAAGGCTTCATTTCCAAAATATCGAGCACTCGTGATTTTTTTTTGGGCCATCGTCATGTATGTTTAGTCGTAACAATTGTAATATCATTGCCTTTATATAAAATAGTGAATAAGAGTTCATTGTTCATTTTTCTGGCCTCGTTTTCACACACAAATAGGATTGTTACTGTTTAGTAATCAGCTTTTAACAGTTCATATAAAATATTTGGATGGAAACGACATCGTATGAAAAAATATATTCAACATAGTTCATTTGTGTCCAACGTATATATGTTTTTAAAAACTCGTACCCATAAAATATATATGGAAATGAAACCGACGTAGAAATCTCCTCTTCTTGCTTTTCTTTGTCTTCGTCATATTTGCTTATTACCGTGATTAATTCTTGTCTTAGACGTATTTGCTGATTATCTTGATTGAAATTAAAGGTAGATTTCTACTCATTGTTGTTTTATTTTTGTTTTTTCATTTATTATTATTATTTGTTTTTGCAACTTGCTTTCGATTTTTTCGTTTTTGTTTAGTTCTGTGTTTTCGTTCTTCCCTATTTTCCATTAAGTATACACAAATCTTTTAGGAGGGTATTCTGGTATTGTTAAAAGGTAAGTTTAAAATTTAGTTTTTGCCCGATAAAAGGTAGGCTTAAAATTTTATACACAAGATGATAAAAAATGTAGAGAGANTACACAAGATGATAAAAAATGTACAGAGTATGGAAAGAAGAATGGAGCAAAATCGAGAAAAGAAGAAAGAAAAAGAAGGGTTGGGAGATACGGAGAAATCGTGAAAAAAATAAAAGACAAGAATAAGGAACAAAAGAGGAAGAAAAGAAGACGACAGAGGAAGGAAAATGAAACACTAGCAATCTTAAAGATTGGAACCATTTTATTTTTGCTCATAGAATAATATAATAAGTTAATGCTTTTAGAAGATTTTAGGATTATAATGAAAATTGAATACTTCTTTACTATACCTTCTCAAGTCAATGCGAGTGAATTGTTGTGTGATTGCAAGAGTATTAATCATTCAGAATGATAAAATGTTGGCTCTAGAGAAAAGAAAAAAAAAAGTCCGATGGTGTCTTCGTGCACGGAGACACCATGTCCTTCTCCGTGCGCCACAGACAG